CCATGCCTCTATACAGTACAGAAGAACATTATTTCCCCGCCCGCAAAAACAATTAGCATGTGCAACTGTAAGCACTGGTATTTTATAAGCCATGACAGACATATGTGGTTGGATGATAAATTCCTTTGATAATTTCCTTCAGAGGCAATTCAAACAGTTGTTGAGCTGAGTCAAGAATTGACATCGCAGCACTCGGGGCATTCCCATGCTCCGTCCTTATCTTCAGCGGCCAACGGAGAGTTCCAATACTGATGGTACTGGTAACAATCTGGTTATATGTCCATTTTGCGTTTCCTCTGAGTGTAGTGAGCCGGCCAGACCCTCTGGTTAAACCCAGGTGCCTCATTCTCTCCAGGCCATAATAATAATAATTATAATTCCTAATTAGGTCATAATTCAAACAATATACTGGAAATTACATGGTGCCCCATACTGGTTGGAAAAGAAATGACCGATTCAATTTATAAACAATTTTGGTAAACAGACACAATTTTTTTTGGGTAAGACACAAGATTTTAGATCTACAGAATTCAAATGTTTATTAACAATATTTACAAATCTGTCTTGACAATACTGTCACAGGATAATAAAACAATTTTCTGAAGAAAAAAATTATTTTTAAAAATTGTGTCTTCTTAACATAGGATAAAAAATGTGTAGCGATTATATTCTCACATCCATGCCATACAAATCACATATATCTTTTATTTCTATAGCAACAGCTGAAACTCTACCACTGTATGTTGAAGACTATGATTTAAGCAGATGTATAGTCTACATAAAGTAGAAGTAAAAGACCCTTCTCCGTGCGTTAAGGAGTATTGGGCATATAGGGTTAGACCTGTATTCTATAGACCAATCAGAACTTGGTGGGTGATGTGGTTTAGCATCATGCCGGCCACCTTTACTTCCCAGGATTGCACCTGGTGCCCGCTTATGGCTGGGTCGACCTGGGAGCCAGTGAAGTCTACATGGGATCCTACAATTAATCATCTACACAGATCTAAGATTACCACATCAAAACAGTTAGTTGCATATCCTGTAGAGCAGCGGTTCTCACCCTTTGGGTCAAACAACCCTTTCACAGTGGTCGCCAAAGACCATGGCAAAACAAATATTCATTGAAGTTATGAAGTAGCGATGAAAATAATTGAATGGGTGGGGGTCGCCACGACATGAGGAACTGTATTAAAGGTGGCCACAACATGAGGAACTGTATTAAAGGGTCACCACGACATGAGGAACTGTATTAAAGGGTCGCCACAACATGAGGAACTGTATTAAAGGGTCGCCACAACATGAGAAACTGTATTAAAGGGTCGCCACAACATGAGGAACTGTATTAAAGGGTCACCACGACATGAGGAACTGTATTAAAGGGTCGCCACAACATGAGGAACTGTATTAAAGGGTCGCCACAACATGAGGAACTGTATTAAAGGGTCGCCACAGCATGAGGAACTGTATTAAAGGGTCGCCACAACATGAGGAACTGTATTAAAGGGTCGCCACGACATGAGGAACTGTATTAAAGGGTCGCCACAACATGAGGAACTGTATTAAAGGGTCACCACAACATGAGGAACTGTATTAAAGGGTCGCCACAACATGAGGAACTGTATTAAAGGGTCGCCACAACATGAGGAACTGTACTAAAGGGTGGCCACAACATGAGGAACTGTATTAAAGGGTGGCCACAACATGAGAAACTGTTTTAAAGGGTCGCCACGACATGAGGAACTGTATTAAAGGGTGGCCACAACATGAGGAACTGTATTAAAGGTTTGCCACAACATGAGGAACTGTATTAAAGGGTGGCCACAACATGAGGAACTGTATTAAAGGGTAACCGCGACACGAGGAACTGTATTTAAGGGTTGCGGCATTAGGAAGGTTAAGAACCACTGCTGTAGAGGAGGATGTAAACCAATCCAGCATTTGTTGGCTTTGTGGCTTTTCAAGGCAATTTGACATTCAGTAGCTGGCCATCACTTTGTAAACAATCAGCACTAATAACCTTGTTGAAATCAATGCCAATCGTTCTGTTACCAAATAGTTTGCAGCTTCCCCATGTGGGTTCCAGGATCCCATTGTGGGGAATGGACCCACTGCCTCACTTACAAGCATGTCGTAATAGTCGACTAATTGAGGAGCTTTCTTCAAAATCGGAGTGCATCTGCCTGAGAGGCAAGGAACCAACAATCTGCATACAACATGTAAGTCAGATCTGTAAAACGGATGTGCATGCAACACTCAGGTTCTGGAACAAGACTAATGTCCAGAGGTGGACGTACAACCAGAACTTTCCCACAGAGTTCACAGTCTGCGAACACGAAGAACAAGAAGAAGTTTGCAGCTGAATGAAACTGGGTATTTCAGAATTACAAAATTGCTTTCAAAACCCCTAAGCCACAGATGCCAACAAATCAACTAAATAAATAAACAGTTTTTTGTAAACTTGCATTAATATTTACTTAACCCTTTCACACTGTACAAATCTGTACATACACAAAAATGAAGTTTTCCCAAATTTTGTTAAAAATAGATACATCAGTATAGTTCTCTGAAACTCTATCCTTTAGGAAGAGATGAAGAAGAATTTCGGAGTCTGTCATTTTTTTATTTAAAAAAAAAAAGTGTTATAAAAATCCAGGGGGTTGAAACAGCTGGTTGTTGTTGTTATCGATCCTGCGGCACATGAGCTTTCGTCCTTCGGCCCAATGCCATATAAGTAGAATTTACATGTCTTCACAAGCTGTTCTTTGTCTCCGTACAATGTGTTCCACTTGTTTGGTCTTGGAGGGAGTAGCATTCTTCTTGTCTCACCAAGTGCCCAAAACACAGCAAAACAGCTGGTAAGTTATATGTCTTTGAAATGATCCAGAATTGCAGCGAGTTTTTTGGGACTGAAAGAGTCAAGGATCTATAAAGTTAGCTGTGTATCCTTTACAGGACATTGTAGAACCTCTTCTTTCTTCTTTTCTCCACTCCGGGAATGCCTCGCAGTGTCAGGGCAGGAGGAGATCTCTGGAATGGACCATTGTGTTCACTTCATGTGCAGTACTTTTCAGCATCTCCAATACTTCCTAGGTCCCATCTTCTGGCCAGTTGACCTCTGGCTCTGTTGCAGAACCAACCCCAGCATTTGTTGGCTATTCTGGTTTATGAGGCAATCTTTTACCACAGTTTAGTAAATGGTCAGCTCTTGATACCTCTGTCAAAATCAACACAAGGCAGTTTGGTGCCAAATTGCTCGTAGCTGGAATCAAACTGGGTACCTCAGAATTACAAAGCGCGTTTGCAACGCCTAAGCCACAGACACCGACTTAAAGAGCTATAAGTAGGTTTACATGCCAAATATAACAAATCATAGTCCTTGGATTATAAACAGCTGCTTTATTTCTATACAAATTAAGGATAATTTAAAATGCTTAAATTAAACACACAGCACAAGTTCAAAGCAACAGCATGTGTATCCATACCTTATTTGACTTCTTCTGCGTTCACCCTCAAAATGGCAGGAGGCATGTTGTGATTTTGATCTTAGCTGTGATATCTGGACCTGCCGGCCCAACACATTTGAATTTTCTTCATTAGTTACATACCAAGACATGGTTGGTAAGGGGCAGCGGGTTTATTCTTGTATTCCCCACTTAAAATGGGGCTCTGAAACCCACACTGGAAGCTTTAATGGATAAAAGGGTGTCCAAAGGCTGCCCAAAACTGTTAATTGTCAGTAGTTACTGAAATGGGGGTCTGTGTTGGCTAATTTCAACGGTTACATTATAAAAAGATGACGAAAACTTCTTCAACTAGAACAAACCGTGAAAGTGACAATGTAAAATATATGTATACTGTTAGTTTAATAATGGAAACTTTTTGTTTTGTTTTTTGCTCAGTATAATATGTTACCACAACTCTGTCCATGGTGTGGTTTTTAATTTTTAAAACTGAAAATATCAAAGAAGCTGCTCCTGATTGTGTCTGCTGCTTCCTTCTTATTTCTTTCTTTCTTTCTTATTATTATCTTATTGGAACTCTGCGCTGGCTGCTGAAGATGAGGATGGACCACACATGGGAATGCTCCGAGTGCTGTGAGTTCATTTCCTGACTCAACTCCTTTTTTATCATTGCACTATTATTGGACTGTAGCACAATGTCATAGATATCTGTGTTCGTGTTGCATTTCTTGGGTGGCTTGAGCGATGGATTTCTTTATCTTTTTTTTGTGTGTGGCAAGATTCAAATACAGTGTCTGCCCATTTCTTCTCTCACATTCTGCCCAGATGTTCTGCTGTGGAAGGTCTCATTTATAGTTTGGTCCGGCAGCATTCTCATTAGATACCCAAACCACTCCATTCTCTGTTTTCTTTAATACAGGCATATAATTCGAAACCCAAACCACTCCATTCTGTTTTCTATATAATACAGGCATATATTTCGATATGCAAACCACTCCATTCTCTGTTTTCTATATAATACAGGCATGAAATTTGATACCCAAAACACTCTATTCTATGTTTTCTATATAATACAGGCATATTAATTTGATACCCAAACCACTCCCTTCTCTGTTTTTTATATAATACAGGCATGAAATTTGATACCCAAAACACTCCATTCTATGTTTTCTATATAATACAGGCATATTAATTTGATACCCAAACTACTCCATTCTCTGTTTTCTATATAATACAGGCATATAATTCGATACACAAACCACTCCATTCTCTGTTTAACACAGGCATAACATTCCTAGATTTCCAATATTCATAAAGTGTGGATCATTTGAACAGAGGCATAAGTGTATATACATTTCCTAATTTTCTATACCTAGAGTTAATGAAAACAATATGGCAGTGGTACATTATGCTGTCTAAAACTGATGTAACATTTACTATCATTCTGAAGCACACTGGAGACAGGCTCAGACTGTGGAATGTTTTCAAGGGACAATTTATAAACATTCTCTAGTGATTTCACTAACATCAGTCCTCAAGTTAAGCCTCAAATTCAAGTCCGAGTCCAATCTGTGAAGCATAAATAAAGGAATAAGAACACACGCACACAAAACGAATAAGAACAATAAAAATAAATGAATGCAAACAACACAAATAACGTAATAAGAACAACACAAATAATGTAATAGGAACAACACAAATAACTTATTAAGAGCAACACAAATAAAGTAATAGGAACAACACAAAAAGAAAAACACAAATAACTTAGTAAAAACAACACAAATAAATGAGTAAGAACAAAATAAATAAATAAATAAGAACAACACAAATAAATGAATGAGAACAACACAAATAAATAAGAACAATACAAATAAATGAATGAGAACAACACAAATAAATGAGGAAGAACAAAATAAATAAATAAATACATAAGAACACAAACAAATAAATAAGAACAACACAAATAAATGAGTGAGAACAACACAAATAAATGAGTGAGAACAACACAAATAAATGAGTGAGAACAACACAAATAAATGAGTGAGAACAACACAAATAAATGAATTAGAACAACACAAATAAATGAGTGAGAACAACACAAACAAATAAATAAGAACAACACAAATAAATGAGTGAGAACAACACAAATAAATGAATGAGAACAACACAAATAAATGAATGAGAACAACACAAATAAATGAATTAGAACAACACAAATAAATGAAAGAGAGCAACACAAATAAATGAATGAGAACAACACAGATAAATGAATGAGAACAACACAAATAAATGAGTAAGAACAAAAAAAATAAATAAATAAGAACAACACAAATAAATGAGTAAGAACAAAATGAATAAATAAATAAGAACAACACAAATAAATGAATGAGAAAAACACAAATAAATGAATCAGAAAAATACAAATAAATGAATAAGAATAGGATGCTATATTGTGGTATTTCTTTCATGTTTTAGTAAATATAATTTAAAAAAAAAATAAAGGAGTCTTATCACACCACTAGTGCACTCAGCATTTTATACTAGACCCACATTTTTCTAGAACATCAGTCACTCAATGGGTAATGTGATCAACAACTCACCAGCCACTTTACTTCCCAGGATATTTCCGAGTACACATGTAAGGCTGGGTGGACATGGGAACAAGGAGCATCACTAAATGAAAAGGAGACCTCAGACATAAAAATACTGGTCTTCACGGGTATAGACGGTTATCAATAGCTAAATAGCGTGTTCCATGGCATGGATTGGGAATGTGTGCTTAAAAACTTTTACATGTGCAATTTAAACAAGGCAAACAATAATCCAGTTTTCCTTAGTTGCCCTCACTTGAAGATCATGCACCTATTTATGCAGAATAGACACAAAGTTAGTGGAACTGACAGAGATATATGAATACAAAAGGCCAGAGGAATTTTCATAGAACTATGAAATGTGTGGATGTAAAAGGAAATTAAAACTATGACACAGTAATACCAAACTTAAAATATTTAGCCGCAACCTCAAAATTTCCCCTGCTGTAAGAAGCTGAAACAAAGAGAACTCAAATAAATGGTAATTAACTACAAACATTCATTAATGGGTTCCTGGGCAAAAGAGGAGGCATTGAATGGTAGGAGAGAATCATTACATACAGCTTAGTGACAGAACTAAAAGAATTCAAGTAAATCAAGAGTTGAGTAAAATATGCTCATTGCACAGGATACAAAATGAGAAATCCTGATATTAATATAACTAGAATGCTTTTGGAACAGAACCTATTGGGTCAAATGAATAAAGGCAGACCCAAAAACGCATAAAGAAAGGAATTATATAGGGAAATTAATAGATAGGGTGGACATGGGGTAAGCTACATACAATAGCAAAAGATATGATGATTTTATGTGTGTTGGTTGGGGATCTATGCCAAGACTTATTCAGCTGAGTTTACTCAAAATGATAAAAATGAGGATCACCATGGGCCAGAGCCCCAGCACAGACAGATCATTAATACAGTACAAATGACAACGATCAGTGGCCACTTGCTATTCTTCTGCGGACTGGAGCCCATGGGTTGCCAGCTGAATAGCCCTGGCCTATCTTATACTGAGGATAGAGGGCAGAAGAAAAAAAGAATATGAGATATTTAACTCTTTCAGTCCCAGGGGGTTTCACATCAAAGGCCCAAGGTATGGTAAAGGGAGACATATAATCGGTGCATCTTGCATTCACTGGGCTTCGAGGTAGGAACCTATGAATGTTTGATGCGTTCCTTGGGACTGAAGGAGTTAAAGAAGAAGAAGAAAAAGAAGAAACAGACGTACTTCAGAGACATGACTAATGTTGATGGATCTATGAAACTGAACACTAGCATTACCTGTGTGGGTTTTTGGGGGTCCCACTGTGGGGAAAACACAGATACACTGTCTCCCCAACAAGCATGTCGTGAGAGTTGACTAACTGGGAGCTTCCTTCAAAGTGAGAGTGCATCTGCCCGAGTGGCAAGGAACCACCAACTACACACAGATAAGCCAGTAAGACAGATGTACACACAAAACTCAGGTCCTAGCACAAAGCCAAAGTCCAAATGGTCGAACAACCAGGACTATCTGTTAGAGCTTACAACCGATGAACAAAGAAGAAAAAGAGGAACACTAGCATCAATCAGGCACATCCTAGACACAGACACAGGACAATGTGAAATGTACCTTATGACCTCCCTGGTGGATATTCATGCCATCTATCAACGATGAGACTATCAGATTCACTCCTGGAAAACAAACAAGAAGTTATACATAAAGTTATCAGCCAAAACAAATCATACAATCTGACAGTTCTGAAATTACATTTTAAATGTAATGGCTTGGTGATTTAACAGTAATTAGACTGCTAAGTTATCATGACAATTAAAGAAAAAATACATTAGGATTTACGTTCTTTACAGGAATTAGCAAATCGATCGCAGAATTAATTGGCCGATCAAAGAGCCATGATGACACAATAGCTAGTAGGCTTGCCAGTTTGCCCAGTGGTCATAGATTTCAACCCCCTGGATTTTTATAAAATCTGACCAAGACTCAAAATTTCTCTCTGCTTTTCTTAACACTGTAGTCTTGATATAGGACATAATTGTTCTTTCAAGTCCCACCCTGGCTGTAGTTAGGGGCCTTAATATAACCTAATGGTAGAACAGGGTTCTGGCACCCTTCCCCGGGTGATCCTCATCTACATGGCGGCACTTTGTGTCACCGGGTGTTTATCGCTTTGTGGATGTCCTGGTGGAGTTGAATCTCATTCATTCATTCATTCATTTGCTTCTTCTTCTCTTGCTTTTTCCTTTTAGGGTAGAGTTTCTAAGAATTATAAGGATGTGTTTAAAAAAAAAAAGAAATTTGGAAACAATTCATTGTTTAAGATTCTTATAGGGTGAATGGTAAAACAATTCTGACGAGAGAGGTCAAAGGTGCTAGATTTGATTCCATCACTGATTAAAAAAAAGAATGCACAGGATAGGAAAGAATGGAGGAATATGATAATCGACACAAGAGGATGAGATGACTGCCATGCAGGGCAAAAATAATTCTGGTCATTAAAACAAAGGCAAATCTTTGGGTATCTTTTTTAGAAAAAAAGCCCAAAAATTAGAATTTAAAAATTTATAAGATCAAGAATTAATAACCTAATTTTAAAATAATGAACAAACTGTGAGTTGAAAAATAAAAAAAAAAATAAAAATAAAGAAAAACAGTGATGGAACAAAACCCTTAAATGAACAATTTAAAAATGTTTACTCAGGCGTCCCCCTGCTAAATCTGATAAAAATAAATAATCATTTTTCATGTTGCAAAGAATATATGCAATAGCTACATTTGGGTGACAATAATAAACTAGAATGCTGAAGACATACAATTAAACCAGAAATTGGAGAGGAACAATATGGTTTTGTTGCAGATAAAGGCACAATGAACACCATATGTATCTTGAGAACACTTACAGACAAAAATTATTAAAATGTACAGAGATTCGTATTTGTGCTTTGTTGATTACACTAAAAGTATTTGATAAAGTGAAAAAATGAACAACTTATTGGAATACTAGAAACCTTAAACACTGATGGTAAAGATCTGAGATTAATTATTTAAAAAAAAAGTATCAGCAACAAGAAGCAGCCATAAGAAACATAAACCAAAAGGCAACTTCTCAAAATATTAAACAAGGTGTTTGACAGGAACATATACTGTCACCAGATTGATTCGATTCGTATAGTGAAACAAAAATGAGATAAGTACAAGGTATGCAGGAATATTGGTTGGTGGGCATAATGTAGAAACTTGCAATATGCTGATGATATAGTTTGACTGATGAAAATTAAACACAATTGCTAGATATGATGGACATAACTGTAACAGAGAGTCAAAATAAGGGCCTTAGTTTGAACAGCAGAAAAATAGAAGTAGTGAGTATTGCCAAAAAATATACCCTCCAAAATGCAACAGCGGAATAAATGGGTCAATTCTGTAGTAGACCAATATGTTAATATACTTGAGTACCCTGACAACAGCAGATGGGAGATATATTAACCCTGTCACCCTGCTGATACCAGGTTCTCAGTAGGCAGTGGTCACTATGCCTCTATAACAACTTTGGTGCTGGTTGCAACTGTATATAGATAAGCTTCATCTTCTTCAGCCTTCCGAGCCCAACAGAAATCACCCTCCTTCACTGATCTCTCTGGTTGGCCTTCTCTTTCCAGTTGGTAACACCAAGTGTTTGCAGGTCTGTCTGGATATTATATCTCCATTGTCTTCTTAGTCTGCCTCATGGTCTACGACCACATCCCAATTCACCCCCCCCCCACCCCCCCCCCCCCCCCCCCCCAAAAAAAAGATGTGCTTAATATAATTAATTATATTTACTTTGAAAAAAGAAGCCTTCTTCTATTTGTGATGTCATCTGTGACATCTTGATGACATCACTTCACTTCTATTGGTTATGTTAACCAAACCATATATTTACTGGTCAAAGGGAAAGAAAGCAGTTGCTTCTTGGCTCTATATTTAGTAATTATATAAGAATGCACATACTTCAGGTTGGAAAATTAAAACATACATTTTCTTTTTGTTTTTCTTTTACGACTTGGAAGCCATGAAGATGCAACAGCTAGCATGCTTGCCTATCTGCTTAGTTGTCCCATGTTTCAACCCCATCGACTTTTATAAAAACTGATCAAGACTCCACGTTTATTCTACTTCTTCTTCTCTTCATACAAATTCTTTGGGTAGATTTTAAGAGAATTAAAACAGTGTGTTTTATTTTTACTGAAATTCGGAAAAAAGTCATATTTTAAGATGCTTAGTAGTCAAAAGGATTGAGCAAGTTTAAAGTAGAATCGCTCATGCAAAGTTAGCATTTCACAAAATGAAGAATATTCTATGCAATCTTTCTTTGTAAATTTAGACGAGAAAGAGAATTCTCAATAGCTGTATAAATCCTACCCTGATAAATGAAAGTGAGTCATGGACAATTAGCCAATAAGTGAAAAATTATCTGCAAGTGCTAGTGCATTTCATTGTGGAATTACCAAACCATATTTAAATATTTAACTTTGTTTTTACACAGGCTACTGACTTTAATTACTAAATAGTTTTTAAATAATGTAGACTTAAACTATAAATTTTTATTATTAATACAATTTACTGCCTGGCATATTACGCTGTATCTTGTCAGGTGCATTACTACACAGTTAAATCAATATATAATGAAGTACAACAATGAATCCTTGTTTGTGTCCGTTATTATTTAAATTTACAACAGGAGAACATTCTTTTTAACTAAAAAGTATGTCAAAATTTATTACACATTCGATTATTTAATAGACTGAATTATTGTGTTTCAAAATTAGGATTGTCTAAAATGTGTGTCATTAACATGACAAGTTTATAAAGCTCTGCTCTAAATACATATTGTGTTTCAAAATTATAATTATCTAAAACGTGTGTCATTGACATGAAAAGTTTAAAAAGCTCTGCTCTGAATACACCATCTACCACATACCCTTTAACATATGGTTGTGAATCCTGGGCATTGAGTAAACAAGCCAAAAGATTTCTTATGACTTCAGAGATGTGGTCTTACTGAAGAATGCTTAACAATCCTTGGACAAGCTACAATGAATAATCCATATGTTCTGAAAGAGGTAAAGAACCAATCACAAACATCAGTCAGAAAGAGGCAATCATCATTTCTGGCCAAATTATGAGAAAAAAGACAAGGGAACATGTTATGACAACGGGAAAGATTAATTGAAAGAGAGACAGATATTGAGAATAGGAGAAGATTCTTGACAGCCTTCTGTCAGAGTATGCAGGAGTGTCAGCACACAAACTTATACATGCTGCTGGAGATCACAGGTTGTTGGCTTGATTATCCACACCATATGACAATGCGCTTGATGACAATGATGTTGATGATGATGATGATGATGTTGATGATGATGATGATGTTGGTGACTGTATCCCCTAGACCAGTGGTTCGGTTAGACAACAGATCCTCTTTGTCTTCTTCTGTGTTCACCCAAAGATGTAATTGCCGTAAATAATATCACAAGCCCCTTAACTCTTTTCTGTCAGTACCAAAAATCACGCCAAGTGTGACTGCACTTCCTCAGCAGTCAAAATATTATTAGGCTTGTACATTTGATGTTTAGACAGGACAAAGTAAAACACCCAACAACTCACAAGACTTTTACCAGGGTTGTGTATTTAGTTGCTGTGGATTTCAAAAAAAAAAAAAAGAAAGGTCCCTTTTCATGGCTTTTAGGCCTATTAGGAATATAGGGCTAGACCTATATATTTATAAACCAACTTGGTGGGTGGCGTGGTCAGCATCATGCCGGCCGCCTTTACTTTCCAGGACTACACCCCACTCAAGGCTGGGTCAAACTGGAAGTCAAGGTCACTAAAAAAAAAAGTCATGCTTTGTCAGGACGCGACCCACAACCTTCTGATCTGCAGGTGATCGGCTAGCCACCAAGACCACGGCAACTCCCCCACCCCATGGATGTAGTATACCCATAATTTTGTTGCTGTTGCCACTGCACCATTCAGTTGTCAGCTGTGTCTGTCTGAAACTGAAAGAGATACATCTGTTCTGAAGCTGCTCAAAATGGGAACCAGCAAATCTTAATTAACCAGTTTTCAGCTCAAGCTTGAGTACTGAGTCTGTTCTCAAAATAAGGATTTAAGCACATGCCCTGGATTCTACCCCCATCTTTTAATACAACGGTTTTCAACCCTTTTTCAGGTAGCACTTCCCTTGAATATATGACAACATACATTCAACTCCCACCACTTCTCTCCAACTGAAAAAAAAATCTGATTAAAAAAAGAGGACAAAAACAAAACACCAAGCACAATTTACAAGAACTGTGTTATCCTATTAATTAGATTTGACTGACTGACTGACTTTCTACCCCACTAGGACATCACACAAGCGATAAACACCCGATGACACAAAGTGCCACCATGTGGATGAGGATCGCCGTGGAGAGGTCCCAGAAACCGTGTTCAGACATTTGGCCATATTTATGGCCTGCCTATATTGCGGCCCCTGGCAAAAGCCAGAGTAGGGCTTCAAATGACAAAAAATTTCGTCCTAAAAAGGGCGAGATTGGATACTGATCAATTAGATTTTTAACAGCACATGTAAAAACAAACTGCTCATGAAAACAAAAATGCCCTGCTTCTTTTGTGTGTATTGTTATTTTATAAATAGCGTGAAAAATATTTTATTGATAATTAAACTGAAAAACAGAGTGTAACAGGTTATTACAAGTACAAATGCAGTTTTAAAACTGCTTGACGCCCCCCCCCCCCTCCCCCCTTACCCCAATCCCCCCGGCAGACGTGCCACCTGCCCAGGTTGAAAATTACTGTTGTAATATATACAACAGCACTGAGACACTCACCATTTCTCAACTGCTGGTTGTAACACATGGCTATATGACTCTGACTGTTCATCTTGAGCTGCCGCAGGAGAAAAAAAAATATGTAATAATCATTAGGATAACGAGGTTAAGGAAATACTGACAAAAGAAGGTAATTTGGGTTTTAGTTGTTTGAAGAACATTAACTCGTTCAGTACCAAGCCACCCAATCTGCCTTTACTGGTCACTTCCTCTGCCGGCCCGAAGGTCAAGGGTTCAAATAAACAGATTTTTTCTTCTAAACTGACCCTAGCTCCATGGTCGACCTAGCATAAAATTAGTATCAGGTAATGACCTGGGAAGTAAAGGCAGCTGATGTAATTTTGACCACATCACTCATCCAGTGATGATTGGTCTATAAAAATAAATGTCTAGCATCATATGCTTGATGGTGCTGAAAAGAATAATTTGTATGATTTTTCTTTCCCTTCTGCTTATTCCTTAAATAGCTGATATATTATACCATTAAACACTAGTTTTGCCATGTGGGTTCCGGGGCCCCACTGTGAGGGGAACAAGAACAGACCCTCTGCCGCCCCAACAATCATGTCGTAAGAGTCAACTAAATGAGGTGGTCTTTTAAAGTCGAAGTTCATTTGCATGAGAGGCAGGGGGCCAAAAATCTGCACACAAGTTAGTTAGAGCTGTAAAACGGATGTGCAGGCAACACTCAGGTTGTATGTTATGGTATACTTACACTAAACAATGTATAATCATCCAGTCTTTATGTTTTGTTATAAATACACTTAATGATGCATAATCATTCAGTTTGTAAATGTTAGGTTATACTTACACTAAACAATAGATTATCAAGCTTGTAGGTTAGGTTATACTTGCACTAAATGTGTGTATTAATGTCCAGTTATATGCTATATTATACTCAATGATGCATACGCATTCAGTTTGTATGTTAGATTAAACTTACATTAAATGATGCAGTGCCGCCCAGTTTTTATATTAGGTTAAACTTACACTAAACAATAGATTATCAAGTTTGTATGTTAGGTCATACTTACACTAAATGTATGTATTAACATCCAGTTATATGCTATGTTATACTTAATGATGCATCCTCATCTAGTTTGTATGTTAGATTATACTTACACTAAATGATGCAGTGTCATCCAGTTTGTACCTTCCTCCAATTGCAAATGTGGTTCTTCCAGTACGAGCAGCCCAGGAGAGGTTAACCGCTGCTTCAAACTTCTCATTGACTTGGTGGTGTAGAGAGCCTGTGAACTCTTCACCATCTTCACTGTTGAACAGAATGAGATAGTATAGCTTCTCTGATTATGATTTCTCTTGTTATGGCTTCTCTGATAACAGTGAATGGTCAAAATGAAACTAGAACAGACAACAACAGATACGAAGAAATGTATGAATATGTAAGAAATATCATTGTTACCAGACAGAGAATATTGCAGCAGAAAGACAACTGGACAGAAGCACAACAAAATAGCTTAAGTGTATTGCACATAAGGCTAGCCCTATATTTTACAGATCAACTGGCACTCGGTGGGTGATGTGCTCATCATCAGGCCGGCCACCTTTACTTCCCAAGACTTTACCTGGTACCCATTTATGGCTGGGTCGACCCGGGAGTCAAGGTCATTTTTGGGAAAAGTTTAGTTCCATCAGGACCTGATCCACAACCTTATGATTCGCATGCGAGTGTTTAGCCGTTATCCTACGTCAGTTCCCATCAAATAATATATTTAGCTATGCTATTTATCTTTCTGCTGTTTTGTTCACTGATAAAGACTGTTATTTGAAATGTTTAACTATATTAACTCAGAATGTTCTCGCTTTCCTGTTGAGCTTTCAAGCCACAGTTCCCATTGTGGTCAGATATTTCTACATAAAGCATTCTTTGTTGCATTTCTAAACTGAAACTAAAGTTAAAGTCAGGAGGGTACATTTAATCACTCTGTCTGGAGTTTATCCCACATGACTGCACTAGATGTATGCTGAGAGCACGTCACAAAGCACAGACTCTGTAGCTCATCAAGACAGGATGTATACAGCTCTTAAGAATTCTTTCTCACCTAAGTTAACAAAGAAAGACTGGATGGTCTTAAATTTGGTGAAAAACTGCCTTTGCTTGTGCTGTTCCGCTATTAACTTCTTTAATAAATTTTCCCTCTGCTGTTCTCAGGGTACCCTAATATTTAAACGCATCAAAGGATGGTCCCATTGACTCTGACACTGCTGTTTGGAGGATACCTTTGTAAAAATAAATGCAAAAAAATTTAACTGAAATAACTTCTACTGAAACACTGCCCCACAGACCACAACAACTGTAAATTAGCAAGTCGGCACTGCTGAGACAAAGATGCAAACACACCTCACAAGCACAAACAAAAATAATGAACTAAACAACTTAAAAAGCTGAAATAAATGCTATTAAAACAAACTCAAAGAACAGTGAAAACGTAAACAAAGAATGGGACACCTACTTTATATTTGCAAAAGCACCATTTCTGAAATGATTAATTCAAAAGTATACAATTGGAGCATCTGAATTCATCTTATCATCACTATCCTGTGTTATGCTGTTATATGTCACAAAGAGCTTGCAGGTTATTCCTCCATCCGTTCCTATGCCATCCCTCCGTTATCATGGATTAACCTAGTCGAGCATCTTTGGTGTCTCTCATCAACGTCTGCTTTAACTCTTTCAGTCCCAAGCAGTTACTTTAATCCCTGCGGCCCTAAGGAGTTCATCTTTAAAGCAGTAAATAGCTTGGTCGGAAGAAGTTCTATTATAGCATTTTCTAAAAGAAGTGCTTCAACTAATAATTCATATATAAGGAGTTTTTATAACATTTATCTGTGACAGAACATAGCAAGCGATTAAATCATCGTGTAAAAGACAAAGAACGTGTGATGAGTTGCTTGGTATTCAAAGAGTTAAGGGTTCACTTGAATGTCCTCATTTCCTCAGTGCTTTTATTTCCAGTTTCAGTGCCTGTCTGATTATTCTCTGCTCAAGTCTTCTCAGAATGGGTCCAATACAGTACCACCTTCCTTGTGTAATAACTGTTGATACCTGCGGTTGCCCCAGATATTTCTCTAGAGTAAGCTTCTTTACCATCAGTATTGTCTTCATTAAGTTGTTAAGTTGAAATCTTTCTTTCTTTTTCTTCTTGTCTTCCTTCAGTTACGTCATTGAAATACTGGGAGTTGATGTGGGGGTCGGGGAGGGGGGGGGGGGGAAGGGAAAGGGTTGCGCAAGCATGAATGCATGCGTGCGTGCATGCATGTTCTTCTTCTTCTTCTGCGTTGGACATCAGTCATGCTAAACATTGAGTCCCATCTGGGTCACAAATAGGATTGTGCGCTTAAGGTCGCCACCGGTCCCCCATAGCTTCTCTTTCAATGTGGCTCCCTTGGGCCAGATCCACAGTCTTTGCTGGGAGAAGTAAAGGCAGTACTGCAGTATGTACTCAGGGGTCTGTCTTTCTGCTCCACAATCACAGGCAGCAGATTCTTTTAAGCCGATCCTGTACAGATGTGCTCGAAGACCACAGTGTCCAGTCCGAAGTCTAAAAATTGTTGTTTGTTCTTTCCTGTTGAGTTTGTTTATGCTGTCACTCTCTGGTCTGTAATCTCCATTCTGCCTTCTCCACTCCCGCTTGAAAGACTGCTTTAGCGCTGTTTTGGTTTCCTTTTAGCTGTTTGGTGGATGAGGTTGTGGAAGATTACTCCCAGCTTTTGCCAACTCATCTGCTCTCTCATTTCCTTGAATACCACAGTGGGCTGGTATCCACTGCAAGACCAGTTCTGCTTCCTTGGAGAGTAAGCCAATGTTGGTCCTTAGATCTGCAATTAGTTTGTCTTGTTTTTTGCTTGATAGTGCTTTGAGAACAGACAATGAGTCACTAAGTATAAAAATTTTGTGCCCTCTGTGTTCTTGATTGATGAGATGTTGGACTGCAGAAAGGAGGGCAGTTGCCTCAGCTCTAAAGTTAGTGCAGATGTCACCTGCTGGTAGAGAGAGAGTTTCTGCTCTACTGCTAGGGGGTTTAATGTATATTCCACTACTGCCCTTTCTGACTGCTTCTGTAGCAGAGCCGTCAGTAAAAACCTGAGTCCAAGTGGTGTTTGTATACTTCTCATCAAGCATAGCAAGAGCCAGGGTTCCCTGTTGTGTCTCCGTCTAGGCATCTTTTGAAGTGATCCCTGGTACCGTTAGGACTACGTTTGCCTTCTCTGACTTGCTTGTCCATAGTTCTGGCCTAAGTTTTTCGCACAGAGCTACATCTCTTTCAAGCAGATCTTGGTGCTGTCTGTACAGTTCTCTAGCAAGGTGGTTGGAGCTCTGACGCTTCAGTCTGTTTTTTGTTTTCTCTTGAAATTTAAAATGCAGTAGATGACTTTCAAGTCTTTTTAATTTCTCATACTGTAAAAGAGTTTTGTATTGTCTTCTGAGTTCGAGTGGTTCAGTATCTGCTATCCTCTCTATCTCTCTGATGGGGGTGGTTTTCATGGCTCAGAGAACAATCCTTAATCCCATATTCTGAACCTTGTCCAGTTTTCCCATTGTCTTGGCTGCTGTAGCCCATGCAGTGGAGGCATATTCCATGACTGGCCTGACTGCTCTAGTATATACTTGTTTTAGGATTATGGAGTTGGCGCCCCATGTGGTACCCGCTAATTTTTTCATCACTGCAAGCTTCTTGAATGCTTTCCCCTGTATTGCTTCTACGTGTGACTTCCAAGTTAGTCGCGAATCAAGTGAAACGCCAAGAAAGGTAGGAGTGTCAGTCTGTGGAATGAGCTGGTTTTTTAATCAAAATTTTGATTTGTTCTTTTTTCGGGGAGAGAGAGAAAAGTAATGCTGTGCTTTTTGAATTATTTAGCGTTAGACACCACTTTTTGGTCCAATCTTCTACATTTTCCACAGTTTTCTATAACAGACATGAGGCTGTGGTAGTGTTTTCGGAGGCTGTCCAAACTGCAAAGTCATCAGCATGTAGGGTATTATAAACGTGCTGGTGGCAGGTTGCTGTGATATCATTTATGTAAACCAGGAACAGAGTTGGTGCTATCGCACTGCCCTGGGGAACTCCTTCTCTTAGTTTTGCCAGTTTGCCGATGTGTCCATCAATTCTGAATCTGGCTCTGTGTTGAAAAAGAAAGTCTTTGATCCACTTGTACATGTTGTGCACAACTCCTGCCTGTAGCAGTTTTAATTGTAGGCCTTCTTTCCAAACTGTATCGAAAGCACGAGAGAGGTCAAAGAAGACAGCAAGAAATTTCCTTTTTTTTCCTGGAAGGCATTCTCAATTTCCTGTGCCAGATATGTCAACTGGTCCTCTGTGTTTCTGTGCTGTCTGTATCCTGTCTGTGTGGTGGTGATTACAGAGTTTGTCTTCAAGAACCACATTAGTCTATTATTTACTAATTTCTCCATCAATTTTCCTACACAACTAAGAAGGCTGATGGGTCTCTTCTGTCTCCACCCTTTTTAAGGATAGGCTGGATGAGAGCTTCCTTCCAGGCTGACGGTACCACCCCTTTCTGCCAGCTGTGGTTATAAATGCAGAGAAGAAACTTCTTGGCAGCAGGTCCAAGATGAGAGAGAAATTCGTTTGTAATGTCGTCAGCCCCTGGGGCTTTCTTCATTTTCAACTCTCCAATTCCAACTTCCAGCTCTTGCATGGCAAACTTTTCTGACATGCAGGCCTCTGTTGTTTTTGCGCTAGAGTCTGCTAGAAGAGTCTTGGTCTGGTTTCGTACTTCTTTTATTCTTTGCATGGGAATATGAACCTCAGTTTCCTTCTGGTGTGTTTCAGCTAGCACATCTGCTGCTACCTTGCCAGTAACAGCTCCATCGTATGTTAGGAGTACAACTCTGGCTTTTTCTGTCTTGTCTCCATTCAGGCTTTTTGTGAGATTCCACAGACGTGAAGTGTCCTTCTAGAGGTTAAATGACGCCGTCTTTTTGTGCCAGCTTTCCCTCATCTGATTATTTCTCTCTTTGATGAAGGCTGCTTTTGATCTGTTATGAAGTATTACATTTTTGTCTGTCGGATCCTTCTCCATATTTTCCCTCCTGGTACTAAGTTTGGAATGCAGAGTGTCCAGTTCAGGTGACCAGTAAGGTTTAAAGTTTTTCCTGCTGCCTCGTGGTAAGTTACCCTTGGCTGCATTTAGAATAGTTGTGTTGAGGATCTTCAGTTTGGCATTTATTTCCAGTCTTCTGAAGAAGACTCTCTTCAACATGTCGTCCAACTGGGAAGTGAAAAGGCTCCAGTTAGCCTTCTTGTAGTTCCATCTGGGAGGGTTCTTTTCCTTAGTAACCTCTCTACTTTTGTTAATAGACAGGATTACGGGCCTATGATCACTGCCTCCCAGCTGTTATCACACATCCCGCCTAGTAACTTTCTCCACATCTTTAGTTGCTATAGCCAAGTCTGGAGTGCTGGTTTTCCTCCAGGCTCGAGAGTAGAATGTGTCTGGGTCGTCACGATGATTTATCAGAACTAGAGTGTTGCTGATTATCCAGTTTTCTACCTCTTCTCCTTTCGCACTGAGGTCTGTGTAGCCCCAGCTAGGTGAGTGGCTATTTAGATCTCCGAGAGCAATCCAGTTTTCTGTGTTTATTTGGATGGGTCCCAGATTAATATCTCTGTTTGGTGGTGAGTAGATGTTGCATACTGTCATGTCTCCCCTTGCACTCTTGATAGTGACTGTGATAAACTCTGTATCCCCACACTGAGATCTCTGGGTTTCCCAAGCTGTTATCGTGTTCTTGACAGCAGTCAAGACTCCTCCTTTTGGACGATTTAACCTACCATGTCGGAAAATTTGGTATCCCCTGATAGAGAAGCAAGCATGTGAAATGTAAGGATCTTCTGTGTGCTCTTTCTAATGCATTGTATGCTGACCTTCCTTTCTTAAAGGCTGTTGCATCTTCTGCATAGTCTTTCTATTACTGTACTTTATGAAAGTCTAAGCTATAGTTTCTTTAAAGGCACATAATTTCCATATATTTTTATTTCAGCAAAAAAAAAAAAAAAGGAATGTTATGTTGTCACAAAAGACATCACTGCACATTGGGCACGCAGTGGCAGTCCTTTGATGCAGGAGCCAACCTAAGGTACCTTCCCCGATTGTTCCTACAAGAAGATGGTTAAGTGTCTCGTATCCTGACCTCGAAGACAGCACTGAGTTGCTTCACAAAGTGATGTAATCATGTTAGCATCAGAGATTTATCATTACTTAGCATGCTCATCTTGTTTTGATGTTTGTAATACAATGTCTTCCTTTCTTAGTCTTTTACAGAAAACTCAATTTACTCATTCTGACTGTCCAAGGAATTTTAAACTTTCAGGCGATTTGTGGGCTTGTTTACTAACTGTTCAGGCTTTAAAAAAAAAAAAGTAAAGTTCCCTTTTCACGCCTTTCGGCGCATCCGGCATATGGGCAGAGCGTCCCATATTTTTACAGACCATCAGCACTCTGTGGGTAATGTGGTCAGCATTACGCCGGCTGTCTTTACTTTCCCAGGACAGCCCATCCTGGTACCCATTTTAGGCTGGGTCGACCTGCGACGTCCCCATACCATGACGAAAATCCACACAGCCTGCAGTGGGTTTCGATCGCGGTATGCTGGCTTACGAGTCAGACTCGCAACGCCTTAGATATGTTAAAACTAGTTATCTCTACCTTGCACATATTCTTCCTCTAGATTCCACAGACATAGGATTACATATGTTCAGATTCCCAATTGTAGTGTCCTATAATGGATTTATTTCATAACATGTTCAGGTTCCCAACTGTAGTGCCCTACTGTACTGTACTTTACTTATTTGATACATCTGATAGAGAGAGAGAGAGAGAGAGAGAGAGAGAGAGAGAGAGAGAGAGAGAGAGAGAGAGAGAGAGAGAGAGAGAGAGAGAGAGAGCAAATGTTATTCATAATCAAAGTGACTGTTGAGAAATATCTCCTTCCTGTTTCAGGAACTTGATGTGAGTCATGGATCATTTAAAAAGAACAGTAACAGAAGGCAAGATTGATGGAAGAAGAGGCATGGGTCAACCATAATGAAGGTGGGCACATGATATTAAAGAGATCTTTATGACAGTACATCAGCAGAGAAACTGGCAAAAGATTCAAAGTCTTTTCAGATTGGCTGTGATAAGAGGTCATTCTGCAAACAACCTGCTATGTCAATGAATGACAAGTCTTTACAAATTCCAATGAGTTTTAAAATGCACAAATAAACTATAACTGACATGATAACAGTCTAAGTACTTACACAAGTGTAGTGAATGAAAAGTCTTGGTTAGCATATCCAAAGCCAAAGTTGCTGGCTGTCAATTTTGATTCCTGCATATCAAATGCTAACTGATAGCCAGCCAGCCACCCTTCGTAACTGTTTACACAATGAAACATGTGATGAGGTCATTTTCTCTTTATAAATTTATGTTCGCATTAAGAAATAAGGTTTAATACTAAACATAAATTTTGTGTTTGAGGTCGGGTGAATGGAATCGTGTACGAAGTGTGATGCACGAATAAACTAAGAGAAACATTCGAGTTTGCTGAAACTGTGATAGTCAGAGAAAACATGAATTATGCAGAGAATGTTCGAGAGAGAAACAGGTTATTTAAACTTGGAATGATCCAGATGAATAAGTCTTGTTTCTGATCCTGGGATAGTGTGCTTTAAGGCAATGGAAAAGTTACAGTGGAGGGAATTTACCAGTAAGGGAATGTCTTTTCGAGTGCTGACTATGAGTTCCTGAGAAACCAGGAATTCTTGTTCAGCCCGACAAATTGCAAGGGCTGAATGTCGTCTGTGTCGTGAAGGTGTTTATGACTGCAGTTTTGCTGAGGCTTGATGTGTGGAGCATTGGAAAGACCCTATTATTATAATAAGCAATAGCTAAAATCAATTGTTGTGTATTTTCTCAATGTGTGTTTATATTTCAAGCATGATGTGTTGAAGTATTGTTTAGTGTGCCTGAGAAGACTGAATGACTTAGAGCCAGAGAGACTTACAGCCAGAGTCTGCAAATCACAATGAACTCAAATCTCTTTCAAGAATCAATGGTAGGCACACTGTACATATGTGCGTGTCTTGGCCTTGAGGATGGCATAGATGTGCTGCACCAAGCTTTATTTTTGTTTCTGTCTTTATTCATTTGTTGTTGTTGTCATTATTCCTTTTTGTTGTTGTAGTCTGTCTTTATTCCTTTTTTTGTTGTATGTCATTATTACTTTTTTGTTTGTTTTTGCTTTTAAAAAAAAAGTCCTGCATCTGTGGCTTAAAATCAAACAAATGGAAACATAAGTATTTGGGTGCGAACTTCAACTGCTCAAACATGCTGAGAGAAGAACTTCAATCTAAATTACAATCTGGAAATAAAGTATGCTATGCCCTTCAACATCTGCTATAGTTAAAGTCTCTATATTGCTACACCAAGATCAAAATAAAAAAAACATTGGTAGGACCAGTCGTTTTATATGGCTCTGAAACTTGGAGCACAACTAAAAGAGATGAAGCCTTATTACAGGTTTTCGAAAACAGTCTTAAGACGAATCTCTGGACCTATCAAAGATGTAAACAGTGGGGAAAGGAGAGTGAGAAGCAACAACAAAATTCATATTCTGTTTAAATCACCATTGATCACTGGCCTCATGAGAGCTAATAGGTTGAAATGGCTGGGGCATAATGAGAGAATGTCAGATGACAGAGAGGTAAAAACTGTATACACAAAGGAAATGAATGGTCGTAGACCACGAGGGAGACCAAGAAGACGATGGAGAGATAATGTCCAGAGAGACCTGCAAACACCTGCTGTTTCCAAGTGGAAAGAGAAGGCCAACCAGAGAGACGAGTGGAGGCGGGTGATATCTGCAGCAATGAACCTTAAGGGCTTAGAATGCTGAAGACGAAGAAGAAGTCTGTGGCTTAAGTGTTGTGAAAGTGCTGCTTTGTAATTCCAAGGTACCCAGTTCGATTTCAGCTGCAGGCTATTTGGCAGCCGACCGCCTAAAAATGATTCTGACAAGGGTATCGATAGCGGACCATTCAGGAAGCAATGAATACACAACTGTCTTGTAGAATCAAAACGTACAACAGATGCTGGGCTTGGTTCTGCAATGTCCTGTAAAGAATTCACAACTAACTTATTCCTCTGGTCCTGTGGGCTCTGGTGCAAGGATATTTTAGTTATACTGTTTTAAGATTTTCTCTAGGTATATCCTATCCAACACCTGCGTCTTTTTCCCCCCATACCCCAATATTTTTAAACTGTACAAACTTTTGTTCAATGACAAGACAGTTACACTGAATTAGAATATGAGAAGCAATACAGTTTACCCTAGCACAGCCGATCCACCGACAGTTGTTCCAGAACTTTCAAAGTCAACATCACCATTCAAATGAATAAAATCAGTCTTGTAGTCACTCTTGAAACTGGAGCTCTTCTCCCTAATGGCAAAGATGAAGTCATGGAGATGGGGGACAGACAGAAGTTTAGGCACTATTTCATGGAAACAAAAACAATGCAATATAGAGAACCTGGAGATGTAAGGATGTACAGAAGTTTAGGTACCATCTCATGGAAACAAAAACAATGCAATACAAAGATTCTGGAGTTGTGTGGATGTACACAAGTTTACGTACAATTTTATGGAAATAATAACAATGCAATACAGACATTGTGGAGTGGTATATATACAGTAGTTTAAGTTTAATTTCACTGAATTAAAAACAATGCAATACAGAGATTATGAAGTTCAGGATACACAGTAGAACTGGCTGAATTTAATTAGAAACAAGAACAGTGAAATACACAGGTTTGGGAGAAACCGGCAATGAGAATAAACCTAGTGAAAAATAAAAAAGAGAAGTGAAATATATTTCAAATTTTTAAATAAGATGATCCTAAACAATGCTAATCACAGGTTCATGTAAGCAGTGTATTCCTCAAAGTAAGTAAAAAGTCCCTTTTCCACACCTTCAGGCGTATTGGGCATATAGGGCTAGACCTATATTCAATAGACCAATCGGCACTTGGTGGTGATGTGGTCAACCTCATGCAGGCTGCCTTGACTTCCCAGGCCTGCATCTGGTAGGCACACAAGGCTGGGTCGACCTGAGAGCCAAGGCAACATCTTTTTTGGAAGAAAGCCTGGTTCCGTCAGGACCCGAACCCATGACCTTCCAATCCGCAGGCTAGCGTCTAGCCATTACATCATAGTGACTCTGTATTCTCAAAGTTCATTGTCATTCATAATAATCACTTTCTCCAACCCCCATGAAATCTCCACCAGCCACCAAACCATCCCAACCAAAAGCCATCTGTTCAATCGCAGGCATACATTGTTATTTATGTACACACTGAAATCTGGTAATCCTAGTTTCAGCTTCATAGCAAACGGGTCACCCCATAGTTGCTCGGCTCCTGTGCCAACGAAAAACACATGCAGCTCACAGTGTCACGCCATGCACTCAACTCAGAAGCTGGGCGACGAAACACACTGAAATGCTTTATGCCGGCCTGCGGATCAGAAGGCCGTAGGTTCACATCCTGACGAAGCCGGACATTTAAAAAAAATTTTCTTGACTCTCAGGTCGACTCAGCCTTAAGTGGGTACCAGGTGCGGTCTCAGGAAGTAAAGATGGCCAGCGTGATGCTGACCACATCACCTACCAAGTGCCAATTGGTCTATAAAAATATAGCTCTAGCCCTTTATTTTGAATACGCCTAAAGGCGTGTAAAAGGGACCTTTACTTTACTTTCACTGAAATGCTTTTACTGTATTAAACACTATAATATAATCTTTTTTTTTTGGCAGGGGCAGTCACCCTAGAGACAAGAAGTCCTGGCTACATGTTGCCGAATCGTATATGGTTCAAGCGCATCACAGGTACAGGCGGCCTGAGTCAAGGGCAATGAATTGGCTCACTGGGCTTTGTGGTTTTTTTTTTGGGGGGGGGGGGGGGGGGGGGGGTTTCAGCCAAGATTGCATCCAAGTATTTCACAAGTTATGAAGGCGGCCCAGACTCACCATGAATGATCTGCCCTCAGAACTATCAGTATCAAACTTAGAACAATCCACCTCACAAATGCTATAATGGTTTGCGTTTAAAAAAACAACCTTAATGGAGCATATAGATCTGGAAGTACATCCAAGCATGAAAGTTCATAAGACAGGAAAGTTGGCAATGAGCGAATAGGCTTTCTGACATGCCATCATGACAGCAATGCTCTGTAAAGGACTTGCTACATGCTACATGATAACGGCTGTGGTTATTGTAAATGGCATAGCATATCCACCTTTTATTACAGTAAGAAACTTCCACTTTTTATTACAGAAAGAAACTAACAGACAGACCAACCAAGGCACAACTGATCTCTCTCTCTCTTTCTCTAGACGTACGTCTATGGATGTGTCTTTGTGCATGTATGAGTGCATGTGTGTATGTGTATGTATGTATGTATGAGTTTGAGTGCATGTATATTTGAGTTGGAGTGCATGTATGTGCACACATGAGTATGGGTGCTTGTATGTGTCTGTATGATCATGAGTGCATGTATGTATTTGTAGAAGGGTGTATGTGTGTGTATATGTATGTATATATATATGGGTGTGCATCTGTGTGTGTGTACGGGCAAATAAGAGTGTATGTGTACAGGTATATTTGCAGTGTCTTTGACTGCATATAAATGATGTGTGTATGCATTATTTCATTATGCATATTTTTTATACAATATAACATGCAATACTGATAACATGCAATTGTGGTCTGAAAGATGAGTGCTTGGAAGGGCCAAATGTAAGACAAGCCTGTGTGCCTAATTTGTAACCCTTTAAAAAAAAGTATGTTCGTTTGTTCATTCATTCTCTCTCTCTCTCTCTCTCTCTCTCTCTCTCTCTCTCTCTCTCTCTCTCTCTCTCTCTCTAATAGTTTCTGAAATGTTAACAATGATAACAGCACACACAAAAATCTAACTGACCCCGACTGTGGTGACAGTGTGACATCAAGGGCTAATTCCAGCCCTGTAGCAAGCTGGTCCTCAACTTTGATGCCTGCATTCAGTACATTGTCTGTATTCCACTTTTCAGTAAATGTTAACCCTGCATACATAACAAATGGAACACAAATTAATCAATGTGTGTCAAAAAAGGAGGAGCAGGCAGAAGAGGAGAAGCCAGAAGTGGGAAAAACAGGAAGAAGAACAAACACAGGGGGAAAGATAACCAAATTCACATAATGGGATTGGAAAAAACAGTAAGATAATTTATTTAGTAAACAGAATAACAGAGTAAGTTAATTAGCAAAACAGATTAAATGTGTTAAAAATAAAACAGTAAGACATCAGCATAACAGGGTAAAGTTATCAGTATAAGAGTAAAAAATCAGGATAACAAACTAAGTTAATCGGCACAGAGACAGAAAATCAACATAAAAGAGCAAGTAAATCAGCATAAGAGAGTAAGTTAATAAGCGTAATAGAGAAATCAATTAGAAAACAAACAGAAGAAGGTAATGAGTAAAATGGATATAACAGAGTAAATTAATTAGAACATGAGAGTAAGTTAATAAGTACATCACTAACAAAAAAAAAAAAAAAAAAAAAGAAAGTACAAAAAAGTTAATATCAAACAAACGTCCCTTTCAGTTCCCTTGGAGCACATCAAGAGTTACTAACCATGTTCTGCCCATTTATATTCACTGCTCAGTTCTCCAAACACTTTGCCTGTTTCTCTGTCTGAGCTTAGGGATGTTTTAAACTCCACATTGTTTTCTGTTTTGGTTTTGCCATCAATCTTGAAGAAACCAATATCTGAAATGTAAACGTAAAGAACGGTATAAAACTGTTAACTGTAAGTATACCAGCTAGCTTCTATTCTACAACAAGCTGGATTTTCAGGAAAAGATTTTGGCTTCAAGTTTGATCCAGCACAAAATTGGTACTAGTGAAAATGTAGACGTAAAGAACGGTATAAAACTGTTAACTGTATGTATACCAGCTAGCTTCTATTCTACAACAAGCTGGATTTTCAGAAAAAGATTTTGGCTTCAAGTTTGATCGAGCACAAAATTGGTACTAGTGAAAATGTACACGTAAAGAACGGTATAAAACTGTTAACTGTAAGTATACCAGCTAGCTTCTATTCTACAACAAGCTAGATTTTCAGAAAAAGATTTTGGCTTCAAGTTTGATCCAGCAAAAAATTGGTACTAGTGAATAGCTTAATCGTCATCAAATGCCTTGCTGACTGGCGTGGGCGATCATGCCTCTCCACAGTCTGCCATCCGCAACTGTGTGTATCAGTTCATGTTTTGACACCCCTCCATGCCATGACATGACAAAAGACTGTCAAGAATCTTCTCACGCCATCTTTCTCTGTCTCTCTCTTTCCACAAATCTTTCCAGTGGTTACAAAATGTTCCATTTTCCCTCTTTTCATAACATGACCCAAAAATGGTGACTGTCTGATGTTAATGATAAGTTGTCCTCGAGCATCTGCCTTTTTCAAAATATCTGGGTTACTCTTCTTAGCTGTCCAAGGAATTCTAAGGATTATTCTGTAAAACCACATCTCTGAGGACTCAAGATATTGTTTGGCTTGTTTATTAACTGTCCATGATTCACAGCCGTATGTTAAAATGGGTTTTATACAGCTTGCGAGAATTCTTTTACTAACTTCAAATGACATGAATTTATTGCACAGAAGGTAATGAAAACCCCAAGTTTGCAGGCTGCCTACTAATGGCTTCTAAAGTGAGCTCAGTCTCAGAGCACTATACCTTGGCTCTGCATTTATGTAAGACTCCTTGGATGACAGGGAAAGCTCATGCAGACTTATCCTGCCTTTTCATGAGGGCTAACCAGCATTATATGGCTTCTCTGGATTGGCCTGCTTGTGTGTGTAGGGAGGGGGAGGGAGGGGGGGGGGAAGAGGGGAGGGGGGAGGGGGTCAACTTTGAACTAGGAAACAAATATGACCACACAACAATGAGACTACTATGTCTTCACAAATTAACCAGGTAGGCTAAACCGCTGCAGAAGTCAAACGTATCAGTCAAAAGGTACAAATATCACAGCCGTGTTGTAATTGGGCACAATGCATTTACACCTTAGGACGAATGTAAAAGAAGAACAAGAACAAGAAAGTCTTAAGAAGTAAAGACAGCCCGTGTGATGTTGACGAACGACATCATCTATTGTGCCATTTGGCCTGTAAAGATAGGGGTCCAGCACCAATTGTCCAAAAAGACAATAGCATGAAGTGATTACTCCTGCATGTCTTTGGCAGTATATCCATGAGAGTCAGATGTCTAGCTATAATAATAAACTTGGAATTATGAAAATGCGCTAATATCCACAAAGCCAAGGACACTACAGCACCATAAGAACTTTTGGTAAGAATTCCCATGAACTGTGCATGCCCCTCAACACAGAGCTATCTTTATAGATAATCCCGTCATCTGGACAAGAACTGACATGAGTCATTTGTTGAACTTGTGATTCTGTAGAATTGTTGAACTTGTGATTCTGTAGAATTGTTGAACTTGTTATTATGTAGAACCAGCTGGCCAGTCCCTGCACTCATGGCGCAATGTGATCAAAACAGTACACAAGTCGGACTTCTGCTAGGACACACTGACTGACATCCTGTTATGAAGTTGGAACAGTGTTTACCTGATCCATTCTATCTTTGCAAGAATACTGTGATATTTGTGTCTTGTCATCATCACATAAAATGTATTTGGGTATTTTGTGACTTGGTTAGATTTCACATCCACTCTCAGAGACAGAGCTGACAATATGGTTGGTTGCGCAATACATTATATAAACACAGGGTATGATATATTTTGTGTGACAATATCACTTACTATAACCCTTTTCAAAAACATCTCTTGCAGCTTCTCCCAAATCAGAAAATGATGGTGGAGCCATGCTGAATCACTGGAATAAATAAATAAAATATAAATATATAATATATATAATAAAATAAACTCTTGTTCCAGAAACTGACTGTTGCATACACATCTGTTTTACAGATCTGATTATAGTGTATGCAGACTGTTGGTTCCTTTCCTCTCCGGCAGATGCACTCCAACTTTGAAGGAAACCCTAGTCAGTTGAATTTTATGAAATGCTTTTTGGAGAATCAGGGGGTCTATTCATGCTGTTTCCACAATGAGGCCCCACAACCCACACAGGGAAGTGGGTGGTGGTCCAAGCGTAAACAATGCCACCAGGGTGTGAAGTGTCAGGGTGCCACACATTCTAGGCCAGGGCTATTCAAATGACAACCTGCAGGTCAAATCTGCCCCACAGAGGCCTAGAAAGTTGCCCTTGAATCATTGCCAGTTCTATTAATTCCCAGTGCGGGTTCCAGGGTCCCATTTTAGGCAAAACAATAGACCCACTGCCTCGTAATAAGCATGTCAAAGAATTCGATTAAAAAGAGCCATCATCTGAAGTCGGAGTACATCTGCCTGGGAGGCAAGGAACCAAGAGTCTGCATACAAGGATGACCATCATCATCATAAACCACTTCTGCCATTAAGCGCCGTGGGGAGGAATAATTTGCGATCCAGTGCACGTTGGTTGCCACTGGCTATTGTCATGCCATGAAGGCGTAGAGAGTCCTTAATGTTGTCGATCCATATTTTCCGTGGCCATCCTCTTGCTCTTGTAGCTGATCTTCTGAGATGTAGTGCTTGTGATGGTATTTGATCTTGCGGCATTCTAACAAGATGGCCAAACCACTTAATCTGCTGTTTCTTCATGAATCTAGTACAAGGTGTCGTTCCCACAATTTGCCTGATAGTTTCATTATTCACTCAATCTCGGATGGTTAGGTTGGCTACTTTTCTCAGGCACCTCATCTCGCAGGTGGTGATTTTGTGTATATGGGCTTTAGATAGTGTCCATGTTTTGCACTGGAAGCTTAATGTTGGAAAGAGTATGCTATTAATAATCTGTCTCTTTGCACTTATAGTTATGCTTGGATGTCTTAATAATGGTGACAATTGGTATATAAGTGCACTTGCTTTCTGGCATCTGGTTTCTATTTCTCTGTCAATTCTTCCATCTTCTGTGATCATACTTCCTAGATATTTAAACCTCTAACTTGATTCAGAGCAGAACCATTCAGCTGTATGTATACAAGAATGATAGATCTGTGAAACAGATGTGCACGCAACACTCAGGTTATGGATGAAGACTAAAGTCTGGGGGTGGATAAAACCCAGAACTTTACCCTACAGTTTACAGCCGGTGAACGTGAAGAAGAAGTATTGTATTAATGATCTTTCTATGTTGGTTTTTGAGCCTCTGCTCCATGACGATCCTGTTTTCAAAATGGTGGCCCCTGACTAAACTTAGCTGAATAGCCCTGTTCTGGGCCATTACATCTGATGTGGGGTTGCCGACATTGATGTCAGAACCTAAGTACTCAGGTCCAAAGGAAGACACCCTCTCTGACATCCTGCCCACATTTTTTTAATTGTGTAATAATCCAGTCATATTTCTGCACTGTTTATTTGCACCCACAGGGCTCTGACCACATTTTTTTTTCCAGCCCCATTTAGATCTTTCTCAAAATAATTTTTTGGGAGGGAGCTCATATCATTATTATTATTATTAATTTGCTGCATCAGAAATAGATTTAAAAGTATACTTGAAATCAAATAACATACACAAACAGATATTTTAAAAGAGAATTTATGTTCATGGTTAAAAGGAATCTCTTAGTCCCCTTACAAAATTATTTTGGGTGGGTTAGGGGGAAAAAAAGGAGGGGGGGGGGGAGGGCGGTCAGCCTTCCTCTCACCCACGCCCAATGTTTTCTCTGCGTTGGTGCACTTGGTAGCTTGTATCCTTCTCACTGCCCTTCTGTTTCTGGAGCATACGGTTGATTTTAATCTTTAACAAGTCAATTTCGTTTTCTATAGAGAATGATTCTTAATACCTAACATTTGTGAACGATATCGTAGTATATATTAGTTTTCAACGTTGCCTCCCGTTGTAGTGTAGATGTTCAGGAGGCTGTCCATAGCACACGCTAACCTGCTACAGCTTATGTTTATACATATGCTGATTGCTAACAAATAACGTTGACGAATCACATTGTAATGATGAAAAATACAGATTATTTACTAAATATAACACTCAGTTATCGTGGAAGGAGGGTAGGGTATGGAAAACTCCAGCTGTCTGACTGATTCATGTGTGTGTGACCTAGTATCTGACATCATTAGTATAGCAGAATAGCAGACGGCAAACATGCTACAGGTTCATTTCCGTTTCTATAGAGACCAATTCTATAACGCGACAAACCGAATCTAAACTTCATGCTTGTTGGGATACGATGAAGCAGTGAAAACAGTCTTTTAGTCTCATAAAACCATAATAAAATATAAATAAACAGTTTTCAAGATTCAGATAGTATTACTAAGTTCACTGTTAGTGATGAATTACCTAGATTCAAACCGAAATTAGCACGTTTCTAAAGGCTCAACTAACTTTGTGAACTCAGTTTTGTTTGTCACTGTCCATCGCGACCATAATCAAAATAGAATATACTAATGACTTTTCTTAACAAATTCGAAACAAACTCAATACTGTTATGAATTATTTTGTACATAACCGATTATCAGTACGAAATACTGTACCTTTAACTGTTGACGCCAGAAGTAAATGTGCATGAAGTATCCACAAACACAAGAAGAAAAGCCGGCGGTTTTTACCCTTTAGTTTCTGCCGGGATGAACAAGGTCACAATAACGTCGGAATGAGACTTGTGTGCTACGTGGCGAGATTTAACATGGTGACAATAGAGGATATGGGCTTCAGATTATGAATACAAGTATTAAAAACCGTAAATTTTACCCCGCCAGGACATCATACAGAGCGATAAACACCCGGTGACACAAAGTGCCACCACGCGGATGAGGATCACCCGTATAAATATAAGCCATTTTATTTGGCGCACATAACCAGTCACAATTATAACCGAAAGCTCTCCCTTCGGGGTTGCTGGTTGAACGTGACGATTTTTTGTTTCATTTTCCCCTCAGCAAAGCACCTGCCTACCATCTTGGGATCTCCGTGGCGAAATGGTCAAACCGTTAGCCTCTCGCACTGAATGTCGTGGGTTCGCTTCACGGCTGTGCCGTTCAGTTCACTGGTGCAGTTTTGACAGAGATCCATGGGGATTTTCGCCGGAGCTACGGAGTTCGTGCTCTGTGTGCGCTCTCGACAAGAGGCTAGCCGCTCTGCATAGAGAGAGAGAGAGAGAGAGAGAGAGAGAGAGAGAGAGAGAGACCGAGTATATAGAATAAAACCTGATACAATGAAGTCGATACGCGTGTCCCTTACCCACACAGCACATAATAGTTTAAACCAAACCATTTGACCAGTTGCGGGTTTTCAGTAAAATTGCTGCCTACCTCATGTCTGTACTTATCCTTCAACTCTTGGATAGCGAGATAGGACACATAGCCTCCATTGGACGAAAACGTCAATGGGCGTTTCATGTGCAAACTCAGCAAACAAACATTCAAATGACGTGAAAGGTCTGTAGATTTTCTACCCTGGTAAATTTGTTAGGGAAAAAACACCTTAGGGCACTTGATGGTAGACTGTGCCCTTAATCTAGGCTAGAGAAGGTAAATCATGTTAAAAATCATGGGTAATTCAGACAACCTTTTTTTTAATTGAAAGCAACTGCCATCATCATGTAGCAAGTCCTATGCAGAACGTCGTTCTCATCACGGTCTACCTGAAAGAAATTAGGTCTCTGGCCAGCTCTCCCGCCCCATGTACTTTCATACTCATGGAGTCACTTATATCCTGTACCCATCTTCGTGTTGGTCGGCCCCTGCCCCTCCTTCCTGGTACTCTGCCCTCTGTTTTAAATTTTTTCCAATACGCCGTAGCGCTTGATATGATTAAAATATTTCAGCTTCAGAGACAGAATGCTGTTTATTAGCCACTCTTCCCTGACGTTCAGATCTTTCAAGATATCAGTATTTCTCCTCTTCTCTGTCCAAGACATTCAGAAAATCTTTCTATAGCATTTCAGCCCAAAAGCTCCTATTCTCTTTTTTAAGGACTAGGAGATAGTCCACGACTCACGTCCGTATGTTGCTACAGGGAAGATGTATGCTTTAAAAATTCTAATTTTGATCTCCTTGCTGGTGCTTAACCACAGGCTAGTTGCGTATAATTTACAGGACGTTGCAGAACCAACCCCAACAGCCCCTGGCTGTTGTGTGGTTTTTCTAGGCTAATTTCGTCCAGTAGTTTGCCATTGCCTGCTGGACGGTCGGCTTTCTTGATACCACTGTCGAAACCAACGCGAGGCACATGGCCCGCAGCTGGGATCGAACCCGGTATTACGAAGCGTTCGCATCGACTTAGCCACAGAGCCGACGCTTAACCATAGACTTATCATAAATAGGTGCATGAGAAGAAAATATTCTTATTAAACTATGCTGTATTGAAAGATTGAAGGCATGTAAGCAAACCGTAGGTAGCGATTCAAAGAGGAGGTTCACATGTATAGAAGCACGGACAGTTATTTAAGAAAGGGAAAGGTTAAAGGCAAGCAAACAGAAAGTAGAGAGCGTTTCAAAGGGGAGGAAAACACAAATAGAAGGACGAACAGTTGTCTCAGAGAGTAAAAAGTTTAAAGCAACCAAGCAAAAGGTAGACAGTCATTGGAATGGGAGGTTAACATAAATAGAAGGACGAAAAGTTGTCTCAGAGAGTGCACAAACAGGGCGAAAGACAGCGTTTTGGTGATCTATTACAGCCAATCTTCCTTGTGGAGAGGGCAACTGACTGGTTATAACAGGTCTTTGTCATTCTCTCACTCTCTGTCACTCTCTCTTTGTGTGTGTTTATTCTTGGTTACGATGGTTTAGAAAGTGTTCATGAAAATA